TGACACAAGTAAAAGAAATAGTCCTGACACAGTTCCACAAAAAAAATAGTATTTATAACTAATTTCAATAATAAATTACAAAAAATAAATTATGCAAAACATATATTATGAACAAAAAACTTAATTATAGATCACTGGACCAATACCCTATAAACAAACCCTAATTTTCACTGGGACCATAGCCCTATAAACAAACCCTAATTTTGATTACAATAACATTAAACCTTAATATCGTACTCCCAAACAGTTGACATAACCCATCTTGAATCATACCCACCCAACAAAAAGGACCCACATAAAAAATGAACGAATATAAAACTCTAAGTACTACAAAACAACGACAATGAGTCAAAGTTTGTCCACACCTGGTACCATTTTATCTAACAAATGTGACACAAACCACCTGGAATCCACCACGATCTTCTCCCAATGAGCGATTGCACACACACAATACTTGCTTTCAACGGTCGCACTCAACATGCACTCGCTTCCATACACTGCCCACATAAACACAAATACAACACAACACTTAGGGCACAAATCGTTTTATTAGAAAGAGTGTTTTATTTGAGAGGGAGTGTGTATCACCTCACACGACGTCGTTTCACACAAATGTCAAACTTGCCATTTAAAATCAACAATTTTACCTAATAAATAATTAATATATTAACAATGACATTACTATCATTTCGCAACAACTTAACGGTTCCGTCACAAAATGGGGTCAACGTGATAGTTTCTCTTACTTCAGGGAGTTGTTTGATAATTGAGGGGGTTATATGAAGAATTTGGAAATAACATAGGGGTTTTATGATTTTAACCCAAATTTTATATACAAATAGTGAAAAATTATTGTATGGATATCTAATTTTGTCACATCACATAGATTTTGTGATTTTTTTACATACACAGTGAAAATAGAATATTTGTTCCATTTACTAATTCTTAATTTTCAAATTCAAAATTTGTACACAACATTTACATCATTTATGGTTTTTAAGACACATACGTCGGGGGATTTTCAAAATTCAAGAGATTAGGAGAAAAGGCATTTGATGTGGACTTGGTTTGTTACACATTGAGAATCAATAAATAATTATAAAATAAAAAAAAATCAAGAATAATGCTTTCTTTTTTCTTTCTTTTTTTAGGTAAAAATAATGCTTCTTTTTTCGTAAGCTACTGAGTGACAACTCGGTCAAAATTCCCCTTATTATTAGGAAAAAGGAGAGCACCCTCAAACAGAGTTAAGTATCTTTATGTTGATCATTTGAATGCAATAGTAAATCTCGTCAGCGAATTTTATCGTGTTCAATTAACCTCATGCTACTTTTAAAAATAAAATATGCTTGATTTTTAACTTCCAATGACACTAACCAAGAGTTATAGTAAATTTTTTTATTTCACAACATTTACACAAAGAACCATTGTAGCGCTTTACAATTCCTATCTTTCGAAATCCAAGATCAAACCTGATAGTAGGTAGAGCTTACAATATTTTAAATGGCATTTTTTTGGAACTTCTTGTGCAATGATTTTTTATTATTATTTTTTTTCACAGCAAAATAATGTCAAGCCACGTGGAATTCGAAAGATGTATATTATAACTACATACAAGCTGAAATTAGGGGTCAAAATTGGGTTGGGCTTTCGAGCCTACAAGGAAAGCTTTCTGGTTGGATCACACTGGTCCGTGGGCCATCAGATCATGGGTTCTTGTAAACAGCTATCACTACATTATTTTTCCACCAAAAAAAAATTTTCATATTAGTTTTATAAAAAATTTCATGTAATATAATAAATTTTTCACTTATTTATGAATGGATTCTCAATTTTCAAAAATGGCAACACTTCAAAAATGAAACGGTGTCAGTGTCGTTAACTTAGATAAGATCATAAGAGAATCAAATATTATATGTACTTTAAACTATAAAAGCGTTTTTAGTAGAGCGGTTATAAAATTACTGTAAGTAAAAAGCATGTTATGCGTTTGGTAATGTATTTTATAAAGCGATTTTTATATTTAAAGCACTTGTAAATTTGTTTGGTAACAATGTTGCTTAAAGCACTTTTACTACCGAATTTACTAATAGTATCCCTACCCTCTGTATATTTTGTTTTGGTTCTATTTAATATGAATTCTTGCTTACAAAAAAAAACATTAGCACTCGTATTTATGAAATTCAAATTGTATAGGATTCAAGATCGAAATTTAGTTTTACTAATTATTGCTTGTTTTTTTCATGAATATACTGATTGTAGCTTTATGATAGTTTTAATCAAAAGTAATAATTACCCGATTCAAGAAGTTGATCTAAAAAACATGTTGATATATATGGACAAGAAATAATATAAATATAGGTTTTGGATAAATGAAAAAAAATTGGATGATTATGGAACTAAACTCCACTAAACTTCTAATATAACTTGAATTTCTAATATATAGGTGAAACCTTAAAAGGAAGGACACTAAATTTCTAATATATAGGTTTCTTAAAGGGAAGGGTATAATAACAACAATACTAGCAAGTTCCCGTTTTTAGGCAACACAAATTGGTTTGCATAATATTTGTATATTTTTTTAACACTAGGGACAAAATTGTATTTATAAAAAGTAAAATGGGATTAAATTGTCCAAAACAATATAATATCATAAAAAATCTACGTCTACTTAAAAACACAATTTTAAAAGTTACAATTTGTAACTTTGTGAACGCGTTTTTTGGATGAAACCTCTATTATCTAACCGCACTTATTTTTGTCACCAAATACATCTCACTGCAGTTTTCTAAAATTTAACATGCTATTGGAATTTTTTCTTTTTATTAATAAAATAGCAATTTGATATAAATATTAAGAAGAAATGATTAAAAATAATAATTGTTCCATTTTTATTTGAAATTTGGGTCGGATTTATCAAGTTTAAAGTTTCGATTTTCTTTAAGTGCAAGCAATTTATTGGGATCAAGTCCGAACGCCGAACTTTACCTTACCCATTAGAAGGGAATGCTTTGCACATTATCCTGTAGATAAGTCGGGCAAAAGCACCTAATACCCTAGCAATATATCTATGTATATATATAGTTGGATTTGAGTGAGGCAAAATCAGAGTGTAAACGGAACTATTGGGCCAAAATTGGGCCCACAACACACACCTCCTTTATAACATACACACCGCCGCCTTTACATATAACATACACACCGCCGCCTTTACATACGCACCGCCTTTTCAGGTAACATATACACACACCGGCCTATAACATATAACATATACAGCCGGCCGCCGGTGCGAAACTATTCTGATCAATCTCTCTGTCTACAAGAAATTACACACACATACGCACACAAGAAACTATTTTGTGATAAATCTCTCTGTCTACAAGAAATTACAGACATACGCATACAAGAAACTATTTTGTGATCAATCTCTGTGTCTACAAGAAATTACAGAGACATACGCATACAAGAAACTATTTTGTGATCAATCTCTGCAGAGTTTCGAAGCATAGACATAGACATGGCAGTGATTTCCAAGAAAACCTATTTGGGTAATCGCATCAAAAGAAGAAAAACATCAGCATCATCAACACCACCGAATTGGTCTGGACTCCCCACTAACTTGTGGAAGTCAATCCTGAACAGATTGTCTGTGGTCGATTTGCTTAGCGCCGGAGCAGTGTGTCGTTCTTGGTGCTCTGTTGCAGAAGCCATAAAATCATCTCTAGAGAGTCCCCTATTTGATCAACCGTTGCTCTTGCTTCCTGGTCCAGATCATGGCAAAAAAAATAGCCCTTGCTTATACAATTTTACAGAGAAAAAAGTGTACAAGCAGATGATGAATATTCCAGAACACTTGGGTAATTGCAAAGGATCATCCCATGGGTGGCTGATTTTGTTGGACCAAGAAGCATTCCCACATATCTTCAATCCATTCTTGGGGGCTAGGATTCAACTCCCTCTTTTTGAAGTTCGCAAAACAAGCCTTCATTGCTTCTTTGTCCGGGATATTAAGAAAGTTGTACTCTCATCAGACCCAATTCAGAGTAAGAACAACTACTGGGTAGGAGTAATATATGGTGTAATTGATCCCAAGCTTGCCTTTTGGAAGTATGGAGACAGTGAATGGACTGCCCTGGATGGTGCAGATCATGCCTACTGTGATATCATTTCTCACCATGATCATATTATTGCTTTGGGTGAAACAGCTTCAGTTGAAATCTGGGATTTCAATAATTCTGTCCCTGCAAAAAAGATGCAGATTGAGCCTATTTTTCCTGAGAAAAGGGTGGAATTTGAAAATTCTCTTGGAGATGATCTTTATACCATTCAAAGTTACATAGTGGAATCAAAGGGTGATCTGCTGCTTATTGTGAGGTATATTGGGAATCATGTTCGCTGGGACGGTGTAGTTGTTCATGAGGCAGACCTTCTTGATGAAGAGAACCAATGCTGTATTTGTTCTCACTTGACAAAGCTATTTCATGTTTACAAGCTGGATTTCAGTCAGAAAACATGGGAACAACTGGCATCAATAGGCGATGATCGCGTGCTGTTTTTGGGTCGGAATCAATCTGGGTCACATTCAGCAAAGGGTTTTCCATCTTGTAAAGGGAATTCTATTTACTTCACGGACAATTACTATTGTGATCATTTGGGTGAGAATGACATGTATGGGCATGACACGGGCAGGTTTGACATGGAGAATCAGAGTATAGAAGTGATTAATGAAGATGAAGATGATTGGCAGAAGATTCAACCAGCACCCATTTGGGTTGTTCCTAATCCATGCTACTAGAGACATCCAAAGATAGAATTTAGCAGAGTAGTTTCTTCCTATTTTTGTATTCTTATAGGCTACAAAATTGTGTATTAATAAATTTTTGAATTGCATATATATATTTTTTATTTTGATTTGATCAGTAAGAACGTAGTTTTTGATTTGTTGGTCCTTGTGAATCTGTTGATACTTGTATGTGAAAGTTTATACTACACTCTGATGGTCAATCAAAATGGCCCTCTTTTTGAAAGTTGTTCTGAACTAGATTAAAAGGAAAATTGTAAACCAAGGAAAGAAGCTTATTAAAATTATAACAGCCACACATACCAAAATCAAAATACTCTACCTCAAAATTCTCAGTACCCCATTCTTCCAAAAATTCCAAAATGGGATATGCTGCTGATCCAACTGTTATATACACCATCAGTGCAAGATTCTTTACCAGTCCACAAGCCTAATGTAACACCAGATGACACACAAATGTACGTAGAAAAAGATGCAAATTATAACGCAGAATTCTATATTATGCAGCAAACTCACTTGTGCTTCAGGAGTTTCTGCAGGGCCCATCATTCCCCATTGGGAATTGTGCAACTGCCGTGGTTTTGCTAGTTTCCCTGGTAAATGCAATTTATAACACAGTTAAAGCTGAAGGTTAAGAAAAAATAAACAAGCAATGGAGTTGCAACATAGATGAAACTGTGTGTGTGTGTGAGAGAGAGAGAGAGAGCCCTTATGGGGAAATCTAGACCCTTAACAGCATCATTGAACAAACAATGACAGAGAAAACTAAAATACCTTCTCGCCCGATTGGAGAATTCAATCTTCACAAGTGTGACAAAGTGGAGCCATATGTTAGGCGATTTAACACCTATAGAAATCGGAGAACATTTTAAAAATGATACTGCACATTCACCGGCTGCATTTGCCTGTCCCCGGTTCCCAATAGCAAGTGAGTATTTAAGGCCACTAGTAATTGGTTTTGCTTTAATTGCAAATTGCAGATTAACATCCTTCCCATTGTCAACACTCTGCACGATGCACAAAATTATATACATTCAAGCACCAGCAAAAGCATCAAATATAAACTATATTAAAGACTCCGTATGTAAAATAACCTTCTGAGCATAAGCTCTAACATCCCTTGTTAACTTTCTGACTAGCTGCAGTAATATAAACAACCACCAAAACTTTAGAAACCCAAAATCTTTGAAAACCCAAATGAAAATCAAGGACTTTCAAATGGTCATAGAAGCTCCAAAATATTAAAACAATCACAAACCATTCGAAAGAGGCCACCAAGCAAAGGACCAGCAAGATCGAGTCTCTTATTGCCATAGTGATCCCTATCATCCTCCGCCCTTCGTCCAATTGCACGTAGCAGAAGCTGGTGAATAATATATCTGGTAGAAAAGCAATTAATGTCTCTCTAAATCACTAAGAAGCCACAAAAAAGGAACATATTCAAATTAGACAAAACCTACCCAAAATAGTAAGCTTTCTTTGTCTCACAATACTCTCCTACACCAACATGAGGAAGCATTTCCTTTTGGAGGATCTCTTTGGCATACCTACGAAGTAAATGAACAGGAGACTCTCCTTAAACAAAAAAAGAAGCACAAAAGACAGCTTTACACTCGTGTATAGCAACAGCCAGCATTCATAACACATATTTAATCCTCTTTTCATTTGTGACACCAACAGTGGCCTCTCGTTTCCCGACGTAGTACAGTGCAACCTGCAATACGGGAAGAAAAGCATAACCATCTCAGTAAGGCCGCACTGCCACATCACCACAAGAATAGTGAGAAAAAAAAAAAAAAAAGAAAAGAGAGAGAAGAAATCAAATGGATGCTAACATTTACAATGAAACTGAATTTGCAATCTAGGAAACAAGAGCTGAAACCTAAACAAAGATATTGAAGCTGCTAAAAAACCAAATATGAATTAGAACCGAAAGGACATTACTTTTGAAAGGTAAAAACAATTTTAATGCCAGCAAGCCCGAAGATTATGTTTAGTTCATATTGGAAACATGAACTGCTATATTTATTCATATTGCTTGAAGTTTAGCTTATTCAATACAGAGCAAACCAGAAAGAAAAGCTAATCTCACACTAACTACCCGTTAAAAATAAAAAATAAAAAAACGATAACAGATAAAAAAAATTAAATGATGATATAATACAGTGGGAGAGTTACCTGTTGATTTTATATTACAAATGCTTCTTCCAAGGAGGGTCGTAGCAACTCCATGAGTGTCAGAGAAATCATAGCAAATATGCTCAAATATATCTTTGTCAGCAACAAATCCTAATGCCCGAAGCACAATAATAATAGGAATCTCAGTCCAAATGTACGGAAGGGTAGGAGCCCTGCAGTTACATAACATACCCAAAAACAACAAAAAAAATTCATAAATTCCATAAGAATTCAAAAGGCAAAAAAATAAAAAAATAAAAAAAAAAAAGTGCTCCAAAAACACCCCTAAACACCATATTTAATGCCCATACCCCTTTGGCACTAGTCCGTGAAAGCATCCACACAAAAATGCTACTGGGTGGCCTGTTCTGGGAGTCCACCATTGATCGGACTTCTGCCACATAGGCATACTTGTTTGGCTTCCTCTTCTTAAACACAGATGTGATTGGTGCTCATCTTCTCCTAAGCAATTAGAACCTTTTCACTCCCATTGTTAATGAAATACCCACCTTGATCATATGGACACTCTCCCAGATCCGTCAAATCTTTCTCTGAATTCTGATATAATGTGCAGTAGCTCGACCAGAGCATTATAGGAACCTAAAGTATATGGCAAAAAAGAAGCAGAAAGTCAATCCTGAAGGACAACAAAGAGGCATAAGAGCCTATTCCCAGATGTCAAACTTTCATCAGTTCGGAATCCAATTCACATACCTTCCCAACGAAGACTTTAGTAAAATCTTGAGTTTCAGTTACTTCTTCACCATCATGCCCTTTCTTTATCACTCTCTTAGTGACATCCACAAACAATGGAGTCGAGTATGTTAGATTCCTCAATCTCGCTGCCTTCAGAAACAAAGTCACAGTTTCTCCATCTGACATCATTGGCTTACTAAGATATATCTGACCAAAGCATAAATGGTCTGCAAGACACCCATAATCATTATGACCAAGAAGCAAAGTTAGCCCATAAAGGAAATTCTATTTCTACTTTCAATCAAGCAATCAACAAAACTAATTTACTCTATGGATAGTATAACAATAATAATTTATTTCTCTTGTAACATTTAAAATCACATTTATTTTTAAAGAACAGAATACTAACAAAGTTTGTATATCTATTTATATAAAATGGTGACCCTAAATAGTTGGAAAAAATGCATTGTTAGGCATATTTATTATATAAAATACGTAGAACTTCCATTAATTTATAATGTGGAAGATGAGGCTTAAAGTCAGAAAGACAATTATATTAAATATACTACTACTATAATTTTACCATATTTTTGCCATTACAATTGTATTTGTGGTGACCACGTATACCATAGAAAAAGGAAGGTTGAATAATTCAGGCATGTCATCTTGTTTTCAAAATTGTCTTATGTGATTCCTTTTAAAATGTATTTGTGCTACAAAAATCACTTGGGCAGTGCCTTAGCTGCACCGGCCAAGTGTATGACTTAATGTAATTTATTTGGAAATTATAGTCGAGGACAAGTTCAAACACGTGTCTAAAAGTGTCTAAAAATGTCACAAACATGGAAGCTCCATAGAATTGTCCGTGCTTCTTAGGCAAGAAGAACTCAGACCAACACAAAATTTGTTTTCATTTTTGCTTCCCATCAAACAATTACCGAATTTTATCTCCCACATACAATTGCATTAACTAACCAATAAATACAATAGATTCTGGTAAAACTTAAATTACAATTACAATCAAACAATGATGAATCTTTACATCCTTTGTCTCATAGGTTCATTAAAAGCAACCCAGGATTGCCAGTGTTACAGAACCATATAGTCATAAAACAACTAACCAATTATCTTAAGCAAAACCATAATTTCAGTTCAGCCAAATTAACAAAAAAAATATTAGGCTTTTCCAAGAACCACCCAGGAACACAGGAAAAACAAATTACAAAACCAACCACCTAAAGCTACTTCACACTAAAATCACAAAGATCTTCAATTTCCACCTTCAGTGAAACTATTAACATACGTTATCTTGACCAACCAACTAAAGCAACTAATCAATGACTATTTTATATCAGAAGTCCATCATTCAGTTAAACATAACAATTTTTTACCCAACTACTTCGGGCAGATTTTCAATTTCACTATATCTAAGGTAGTCTTGTTTGCCCTTGCCCAAACCACATTGATCGATGTAATGCACCCTGCACCTTCTATCACATTCATGGGTGTTCAATAAAGAAAATTATGGATTAATCTTTTATTGTTTTCCGTGTACCTTTAAATTGATCAATATATAACACAATCTCCTTTTCTATAATGCCTTTCTTCTTCTAGTCTATAATTTATTAGAAAATTGTTTGGCATAAGATATATTGACTCGATCAAATCTCACAATTATGGGGCTTCCACTTCTTTTATTCTGCAAGTAAATGAATACTAAAATAAAGAATCTCACTCTTATGGGTCTGCAAACATATAAATTTTGACAACTTCAAATATGTAACAAAGGTAGAAAACGTCAGCACTAAAAAAAAAAAAAAAAAAACAAAAACAAAAACCAAAAACAAAAGTATACAACCTATCACCATCAACTGCTTTGCTTCAAGGGGGCTGCATAACAATTTTATTATGCTGATTTTGGTGTTTCCTTGGGGTGTCTTAACAATACCAGAGTCATCTTGGTTTATCATTACCAGTTAATGGAGAAGAATGTCCTTTTAAGACTTAATTAACTCCAATGATCAATTCATGAAAAAGCTAAATTTGAAAACTATTTAATAATGAGCTATGCTATGTAAACGGAAAAGACACACCGAATAAACTATGCCAATCCAATTCATTGGTCAAGTGGTGTCACCAGTGAAGTCTACTTCAACATTTGAAATGGTGGTTTAGGCTTTCTTAGCTTGGAAACACAAAACAGAGATGCAATTTTAAAACATACGTGGAAACTTGTATCAAATACTCAGAACAAACTATGACTCAAACAAAATACTTAATCAGAAGGAGATATTTTGGGGATTTTAGCATACCTCAACAAAGCAGTTGATATGGAAAAAGCTACTTCAGCTGAGATCCTTAGCAATGCCCTTCTTAATCAAAAGCAGGGATAAAAATGGTTCAGAAACTCTCTTCCGGACTAACAATTGGCTGCAAGAAGGCCCTCTGTTCCTCAAATACAGCCACTTGCCAGCCCATCTTTCCTTGATTCCTCGCAACCATTTTACTCAGGTGATTCTTAGTGTTTCTTTTAAGTTGCATGTTAAAAGACCCTTGGCTATTCAAGTACTGCTTGAAGCTAGGTTACTTAATTAGCAGTGAGATCCTTCGGCAGCTTATAGCTTGATTGGCGCAGGGAAAGAAAGTAATGCATATAATCCTTTAGACCAATATGAAACTATGGGCGGTATTGCAAAATGATGCACTAGCAGCGCGACCAATACCTAGTTCTTAATATATTTTTTCAGTGCGTGCACGAATGGCCACTTAAGAACTGAAACAGGATGGTGTAGCAAGGTCCCTTTGGATTGAGAATCAATGCTTGATCTCATAACCCCAAGAGTAGGTTTATAAACTCCATGGACGCTCCCATTTACGTAGCTCTTCTTCTCTCCCTCCTTTTTGATAATGTTGTGCCTTCTCAATCCATTGATTTCCTCTACAACGGATTCAACCCAACAGACAAATATGGATTCTACCAAACAAACCTTATTCTAGTTGGATTTGCCACCATCATCCCACCAAGTGGAGCTCTTGAGCTTACTAACAAATCCTCTACTAATGTAAGAGGCCATGCATTCTATCCCCAACCAATACAAAAATGTATAGACTTGTTTAAAGATGCGAAAGTGCTTTTATTTCAGAATCTCATGAGCCATGATTTTTAGATAGTATATCCAAACATTAGCTTAAGTGCATCTCCTCCACCTCTCAAAAATGAGGTTGAGGGTTTAGGTCCAATTAAGACTAAGTGGGTGGTTTGTGTTACCTATCAAGAGAAAAAGAGAAAGAGATAGAGAAGAAGAAGAAGAAGAAGAAGAAAATTCTGAGAGAGTACAACTCACTGTAACATCCGTGGGAGTAGCATCTCCTTCCTTCCCCACGTGAGCTGCAACTTTACCCACGATGCACTCAATAAGCTGCCCAATTGTCATTCGAGATGGGATAGCATGCGGATTCACAATAATGTCAGGGTGATGCCTTCGACAGTCCATGGCATGTCTTCTTGCATGTAAGTCATGCCGACTGTTCCCTTTTGACCATGCCTACTGCTAAACTTATTGCCGTTTTGAGGTATCCGAACAGATCTCACCCTTACTTTCACAAATCTCAACCCATCGGCATTTGTTGTTAGTAACACCTACAAAAGTACCATAAAATTAAGCCAAGAACAGAAAATTAATATAAAAAGAAGCCAAGATTCAGCATTGAAAGAAGAACAAACTTGATTTAATATTCTTTCTTGATAAAATTCATTGTATGGTCTATTAGCCTAAATGGAACATACAACAGCAGCCAAATTTGACAGGAAGAGAAAATTAAAGTAAGGCACACCTAATCCACCGTCCCAATGTCATTGTGGCGTAAGCTTGTGCTATGATCACACTTTGTGTAACGTGAAGCTTGTCCCTTAGCACCATCCTGAGCAATAGGAGTGGTCTTCCCGATAATTACATCCTCACCTGAAACTCTTGTTCCCTAATATAGAATGATAGCTCAATTTTAGAATATTTGAATCAAGCAGGAAAGAACGTGGAACCAAACAAATTTGCATAAACTCACAAGAGGGGCAAGACAATCGTCGTCCAATTTATCATAGGAACCATGTCGCATGCCCAGGAAAACAGTTCCTCAGATAAATGCCAGTTTCACACAAGCTGGAGAGCACCAACAGTATACAAACTCAGCACTTACCATGGTATTAGCTCTATCGGGACGTCCAAAATCCTCTTTAACAAGTGTCCCCATCTTCTTCTCTTCATCCCTACAGAAAAGAAAATTATTAATGCAATATCTCTGATCCTTAAAGAGAAATTACAAACAAGCAAAGAAATTAACGTGCAAAAACATTATGGGAAAAGAAATATAAATTTAATTACCTATATGATCGGAAAAATAGTGACCGAAAGAATCCACGATCTACTGATGACTGGTTCACAACAACAGAATCTTCTTGGTTATATCCAGAGAAGCAGGCTATGGCAACAATGGCATTCTAAATCAGAAAGGAAGACACAGAAAAGATTGTCAGAACCATTACCAAAGTTATTGCTACAAAAGCAAGAACTTACAATGCCAGCAGGTAGCTGCCTAAAGTGCAAGTGCTCCATGGCTCGAGTAGTAACAAGAGGCTTCTGAGGATAGTAGAGAACGTAGGTCAACGTGTCCTGAAAGATTTAGAGAATAATAAGTAATCCTAACTCGTCATAGAAGACAATATGCATAAGAAAAGCTCAAATTTAGAAGAAAAATAGAGAAAAAGGGAAAGAAGGGGAGCAAGACAATTTCATACCATACTTAATTGGTAGTTGGTGACATAAATTCCCATGGCTTGCTTACCCATAGCTGACTGATATGTATGACGTGGAGACTGAATGCAAAAATAACAAATAAGTACGATAGGGAAGAAAATATGTTTTCATCAGATAAAAGTCATCAGAATGATAAACTTACTTGGTTGTGGTCGGGAGATGGTATAATTGAAACACAAACACCCAATATCAACGATGGATGTATTTCACAATGGGTATAAGGTTCAGAATAAGTGGATTAAGCCTCGCACTTACAAGATCCTGGAGCAATTAACATTAACATTTAGTAAATGTTCCATTATATCTTGAAGAGACGGTTGATTAACACAATAATTCGAGACAGGTGTTTGAGCCAAACTGAAACTGTTTCTTGGATACTCACATTAATTGTCATGAAAATCATAGTAGTCTCTTCTGCCTCTGTGTCTCTATACATCCCTTTGCTACAAGATCATGCCAACCACCCTCTTCTGGGGTTTCCTGAAATAAAGATATACCTTTGGTATCATTGAGGATATACATTTTGCCAAAACATATGTCAATAACTTTAATTGAACATACCTTTTGTTGTAACACTTGGATATCTTTCTTTTTTATAAGAAGTCTTTGTTTCTCCACGATAAATAATGTTCGACTGCAACGGCCATATTCAGTGAAATCATACGGCAGCTTATAGCTGGATTGGCGTAGGGGAGAAAGTAATGCATATAATCCTTTAAACCAATATGCAACCATGGACGGTATTGCAAAAGGATGCACTAGCAGCGCGACCAAAACCTAGTTCATAATATATTTTTTTCAAAGCGCGCAGGAATGACCACTGAAGAACTGAAACAGGATGGTGTAGCAAGGTCCCTTTGGATTGAGAATCAATGCTTGATCTCATTGCCCCAAGAATAGGGTAAGTAACACTATTACACATATTTGAACTAGGCCAAAACAGGGTCAGATAACATGTGATAAAGGTCTTGAAGTACTGGAGTTTGAGAATACTAAGTTAAGCTTAAGCAAACCAGAAGCTAGAATAAATTTTAACCCACTTGAATTTGACCAGTATGCTCAACTTGGACGTCCTTGGCTTTGTAATGGAAGCAAATTTTGTAAGTGTTATTTATTATTATTATTATTATTATTTTTCCTCTCAGACATATTGTCGAACACCTATCCCACATTCCCATCCTCCAATCCCTTCGCCATCCACTTGGTTCCATATTATCTGTAACCCATTTTCCAATCCGAGGTGGAAGTTCATTCCACCTGTTTCCTCTCCGGATTTGCATTCCTTCGTAAATTGTCCTTCCCAAATCCCAATCCTTTGTTCTGAACAAAATTTGTGTCTTTATCAGGGCTAGAATTCTTTTGCTGAATCTGAAGGACTATGCTGCTGCAAGAAGAGCTTGGATTGAATGGGACTTTCCTTCTTTTTGTTAGAGAAGTTCTTGGCATTTATGTGTTGACCATAAAACCGTAATCGCCCAGAGCAAAGCGGACAAAATCTACTGTCGTGACACATCAAGCCTCCACCTCGTCCTCCCCACAATCTTAATGGAGTCTCAGTTACAGCTTGAGGCTCTATTACCAGGTTTGAATCTGGTATTGCTGAGTGCCGTTATTTTATATACAACGGTTACTTTTATGTTTACTTTTAACTCTCTCCATTGGGCAGCCCATAAAAGAATTTCTTACACTTTGTAACTGTCTGGAGGGCTAACTACTGGTGGTTATGTTTGTGTTTGGAAAATGCTGGTATTGAGGTTCACATTTGTTACCCATTATTTGTCTCGCTCAAAAACACTAGCCCCTGGAGCTACTTACAAATTTTCTTCTGTACATATAGAGGAAGTGTGGAACATTTATAAATTAAAAAAATGTCATTCGTCAATTAGTTAAGGTGGCCTGTTCACATTAGGTTTCATGACTTTCATAAAAAATTTAATAAGATCTTAAAAGGAGACAATATTGTATTTTTCCAAAGTTCAGAACTTTATTGCTTAATTGTAAAGTAACAAGTTAGTAGTCAGTTTTTTATTTTTAGGAGGACTCTTTTCTCTCTAAAATATTAACTTTTATGGAATAACTCTACCCAATAGAAAAAGAAAATAGACTTAGCAAATTTTTTCTTTTTCTCCTTTCAATTCCGTTAAGGAAGTATTTTTATTTTTATTATTTTTTGTTTATACAATATGGGAGGACTTAGTAATTATGAATAGAGAAAGAGAAAAGAGCTAGAAAAAAAAAAAACATGTGAGTTTTCTGTCAAAAATTTTGTACTAATAGATAATTTTTTTATTTTTATTTTTTTCGTAATAGAAGGACTCCACTACTCTCACTCTTTTATATTCAAACGATTTTAGTAGAACTATTTATTTAGTTTTTTCATTATTAATACCTCCTTATTATAAGATATTTAATGTTATTTAAAACACTCAAACTTATAAAAGTCACGTATATTGCTCCTTGCACAGCAATTGAACGGAACTATATATATACATATATATTTACATACCCATTTTGTTTGAACTGAGAATGGGTTTCTACTATATATATATATATATATATATATATACACACAAATATACATAATTAGTTTTAGATATGTACACACACATAATTAGTTTTAGAATACCCATTTTGTTTGAACCCATAATGAGTTTGTAATATATATACATACAAATATACAAAATTAGTTTT